CTAGCTTCGATAACAACAACTTCGCTGTTGCGCATCAGTGCCGGTGAGTGAGAAAAACTTTTATTTAACTTTAAGGTAACGGATTCGTAGAGATTGTAGATGTAGATTGTAGATTGTAGATTGTAGATTGTAGATTGTAGATTGTAGATTGTAGATTGTGAATTGTAGAGTAAGTCCGTTGCCTTAAAATGGATGAGCTAGGATAGATTAAATTAAATAACTTTTAATAAATTCTTTCGAAATGCTTTGCATCTATTGCGAAAATATATTGAAGTATTAATTTAAAAAAGAGAATCAAGAAAAGAAAATTTTTTTTGTAAAGACTTGACTAGTTTATTAAATCAAGAGCACGCATTAATAATTTTAACAATTTTATCAATTTTTGATACTACTTTATTCTTATAACGCGCACTTATTTTATTCTAATTTCTTATATCATAGCTCATCCATTGTAGAATTTGTTTGTAGATATTGTTTTTAAATTTTACTTTAACTTAAAATAAAGCCAAACGATTAATTAATTAAATAGTTTGTAATATCATAAAAGTTATACACATACATGAATTTTATATTTTATTAGAAAATATAGTATATAGAAATTTGTAGTAGTATTTTGGCTTTATTTGAGTTAAAATAAAGTTATATTCAAATATTTAAGAAACGATCGTAAAATCGTTACGATGAGCGTGAAATATTTACGCTCATTTGCCGGTAATTAATCGGCAAAAGAAGGAGTGTTTATCTCCTTTTTCGATCTCTGATTAGAGATCGAACGAGAAAGTGGCCAGAATCAACGAAAAGTAAGTTCAATTGGCCTGAAGAAAAGCTTTACGTACAATAGTACGTAATGTCGGACATTTATTCACGCGGTTAGGGCATGCGGTTAGAGAATGTAATTAGGGCACGTAATTAAAATATACGTGATTAGAGATAGGCTTTCCTCGAATAATTTCACTTAATCGAGAAATAGGATTGTTAGAGCTATTAGGTGATCATTAGGTTTTTTTCCTTTCAAATTCCTTTCTATTATGTCATGCTATTAGATCATCATTAGGTATTCCTTTCTGTTATGTCATGCTATTATGTCATCATTAGGTTTTTTTCCTTTTAATTTTCTTTTCAAAAAGTAGAGGATTGTTAGTGCTATTATGTGATTAATTTAGCTGATTTTATATTATATATCTTTTAAGGAATCAGGAAATGTAGGTTTAAATAATATTAGGGAAAACAAATTAATAAATATTTCAATAATTATATTATTAATATTAAGAATTTTTAAGGGATCAATATTTTTTGAGTGTTTTTTTATAGGTATTTTATTTATATAAGAATGAAAATTAAATTGTTAACACTCAATAATTTGTATAGTAATACGAATTCTTTTGCGAAATTTTATGTACTTATGTAATATGAAATTTATGTACTTTTATGTAATACGAAATTTTATATGAAAAATTTAAAATATAAATTTATATATTAAGCTATTTTTTAGTAATATGAATAACAAATTTCGTATATTTATGAATTTATAAGTTATTTTTAAATATAGAAATTGAAAGATTTAAAATAGAATTAAGAATGAGTAGATATTAAAGAATGAATAGAATTTATAGAAAAAGATTTATTATTAAAATTTCAAAAAAAATTTTAATTTAAATAATATTTATAAATAATAACTTTTCAAAAATTTATATATTCATTTATTTATATATTTATGGTTTTAATTTAAATAATATTTTTTACAAAATTTATATATTTATATACTTATATATACATTTAAGGTTTTAATTTAAATAATAATTTTTATATAAAATTTATATGTTTATTTTTTATATATAGATGTTTGTGTATTTATGTATTTAAAATTTTAATTTAAATAATAATTTTTATAAAATTTATATATTTATATATATTTTGAGATATATATAATTTCATTAATTGTATTTCATTAATTTTATTTATATAAATTTATCTAAACAGCTTATATTATTAAAGTTTAATATCGAAGATATTAAGAAAATAATTTTTTTCAGATATTTGTGAATATATATTGAATGTATATAATATTGAATATAGTGAATATTATGAACATATAATAGGATAGTAGTTTGTTAGGGCTACTCCATATAATGCTCCTTATGCACATGGTTCCGGGGACTTGCGCGTTGGAAGACTAAGGAAAGGCGTGTGGGGTTTTTAGTTGGTAGTCCCTGCCGTTAAAATGGCGGCGGGGAGAGCCCAACACTACCCCGACGGGACCGCTAAATAGGTCCTATTTAGCGGTCCTGTCGGGGTGTGCATAAGGAGCATTTTCCCCACGTAAAAAAAAAAAAAAAAAAAATTGTTAAATTATGTTGTATTACATTTCAAATTATATTATATTTTAATAATGAATTTCAACAATGAATAACATAATATCCGACATAAACAATACCGTGCTAATGATTTTGTTTTACGGTCTTGTTATGCAAATTTAAATTTATATACTATATTGCAAAATAAATGCTGCAATTGTATATATTATATTATATATAAAATTATATATAATATAACCCTCCCATGGGGTACACCTTGTCGCGGTGGGAGGGCTTAGTACTTGGATGGTGTCTTGAGATTTATCTTAAATTTTTCTATTTATGATAAATCTTAAGGTGCTTGAAAGGGAAGCTAAGTACCCTTTCACGTCGTCGGTGCCGTCAACGTGTCGCGGACGGCAAGCGCTTCGTTACCGCGTTTTCACGGAACTTTTGGACCTTATTTTTATAAAATTTTTAATCGCATCGAAATAGTGCGGGAGTGCCGTTCAGTATCGCGTGTAAAATAACGAAAATAGCGATATAAAAATATCGCTCGCGAGTGCGGGAGGGTCGTTAAAAATATCGCGCGCCAACAACATGAGAGGAGGAGGAGGCCTGGGAGAGGCATCTTACATCGGCGGAGCAACCTGATGGTGAATATCTATTATTTATATATTAATTGTTATAAATTGTTAACTTGTTATAAACGAACAATAATTCGATCTTATTACTTAAATGAATTAAAGAGAAAGAAGTCATATAAAATTTTCTATTTAAAATACAATTTCAAAAATTTATAAAATTTTTTCATACGCGTTTATCTGCTTATTATTTTACACATCGGATATAAAATTCCACGCGATAAAAATTTTTTTAAATATTAATTTGTGAGCATTATTATAAATGAATTTTATATTTGTATGTTACAGACAACTAGCTTCGATAACAACAACTCCGCTGTTGCGCATCAGTGCCGGTAAGTGAAAAAAACTTTTATTTAACTTTAAGGTAACGGATTCGTAGAGATTGGAGATGTAGATGTAAATTGTAGATTGTAAATAATCCGTTGCCTTAAAATGGATGAGTTAGGATGGATTAAATTAAATAAATTAAATTAAATAATTAAATTAAATTAATTAAATTAAATAATTTTAATAAGTTTTTTCGAACTTATGCTTTACATGTATTGCGATAATATATTGAAATATTAATTTAAAAAAGAAGAGATCAAGACAAGATTTTTTTGTAAAGATTTTGTCTAATTTATTAAATAAAGGACATTAACAATTATTAATTTTATCAATTTTTAATGCTAATTTATTCTTATAATACGTACTTATTTTCTAATTGCTCATAGCTCATCCATCGTAGAATTTGTTTGTAGATATTATTTTTAAACTTTACTTTAACTTAATATAAAGCCAAATAATTAATTAATTAAATAATTTGTAATATGATAAATATACATACATTAATTGTATATTTTATTATAAAATATAATTTATAGAAATTTATAGTAATTTGGCTTTATTCAGTTAAATATATTGGCTATATTTTAGTTAAAATAAAGTTATATTCAATATTTAACGAGCGATCGTGAAATCGAGCGATCGTGAATTCGAACGATCGTTACTAAATGAGCGTAAATATTTCATGCTTCTTTGCCAGTAATTATTCGGCAAAAGAAGGAGTAATCATCTCCTTCTTTGATCTCTGATTAGAGATCGAGAAAGAAAGTGGTCAGGATCAATAAAAGATAGATTCAACTGGCCTGAAGAGTACGGTTAGGACATGCGATTAGGGCATGCGATTAGGGCACGTGATTAAAATATATATGCATAATTAGGTGAGGTGATGATTAGAGATAGGTTCCTCAAATTTCGAATAATTTTAGTTAATCAGGAAGTAGAGTTGTTAAGGCTATTAAGTAATATCATTCAGAATTCTTCTATTAGGGTTGTTAGAGTTCTTAAGATTATTAGAATTCTGTAATAGTAGGATTGTTAGGGCTATTAAGTAAGATTCATTCTTTCTTTTAATATTCCAATAATCCTAATTAAAATTATTTTAATTAAGTTGAACTTATTTTTAAAAACATTGTAAAAATAAATATAACATGTTTTAAAAATAAAAATGTTTTAAAAGTGAAATTTAAATTATTAAAATTATCTTCAGAAATATTAAAGAAATTGCATAATTATTAATGTTTAAGAAATAATATAACATAACATGTTATATCTTATTTTAAAATTTAAAAATATATGTGTATTAAATCAAATATAATATTAAATTCAAATGTTAATGCTATCAATATCAAATAATTATATCGATGTTATTAAATATTTGAATAAATCGAATATTATTATTTGATATTGATAGCATCATAAATTTATAAATTGTAAATTATAAATTTATTAAAAGATTAATTAAAAGATTACAGTATTTTTCGCGATTGAATAATTTATTTACTATCAATTTATATACATGAGTGTCTTGTTATACTCTGGTGCTACTGGCATTTCGTGCACATAGCACGGAACGAAACCAGAAATTGTGCACATTATATCCTCTGAGAACATTCGTGGTCTTTGGCTTTGTAGTTTATGTCTACATTTTCAATGTCCATAGAGGGAGTATCGCTTTCAGGGATCACCTAAAAGCAGGACATCTCTCTGTCTTCTCTCTGATTCACAATTCGATATGAAATCTCGTTGTCTTTCTCGCACAGCGCGTGTTGATATCGTTGTATCCTTGCGCTAGTACGATGAATGTATTATTGATTATATATCAAAAATGCCTACTTCATTATAAACATACAAATGTGTGTTGTGATTTGTGATTGCGTTAGTCAGATAATGCCTCAAATAGCTTTCGAGGATTTTTCCATTAACCTCAAGTTACGTTATAGCATATGTTAAGTGTCTATTGTTGATTTGTGCATTATATTGTAATAGAAAAGTATTTATACATAATGTTGTACAGAAGTCGTTACATGCTGAGGCAATTTCAACCTTTCATGAGATTTTATCATGAAGAAGCGTCTGTTATTGGTAGTACACCAAATTCTAGCTCGCCAATTTATCAGGTCAGTAAAAAATATTCGTGTATTTCATCATTTGTTTCTTCTAATTCTTGTATTTTTAATAATAATATATTTCTGATAAAGATATATTATTACTAAATAGTTTTTATTATTTAATAGTTTATAAAACTTATATATGTGAAATTGTTAACATCCAATAAATATATAATACCAGGTACATATATTACAATACTAGTAATATTGTAATATATATAAATTTAGTATTTATTTATAAATATTTTAAATATTGCATTATTTACATTTTACATATTGTGTACAGGAGAATTATGCGCAAATGAAAATCCTTGTTGATCAGTTGAAGAGCACTGTGGAGAAGATAGTTGAAGGTGGTGGACAAAAAGCAAGAGATAGACATATAAGCAGAGGAAAGCTTTTACCTCGAGAACGAATAAATACCCTTTTAGATAAAAATTCTGCTTTCTTAGAGTTTTCACAACTGGCAGGTTATAAGCTGTATGATAAGGAGGAAGTTCCAGCAGGTGGGATTATCACTGGTATTGGAAGAGTAGAAGGGTAATCTCTCTCTGACCAAATCAATATTATAATCTTTTTTTCTAATGTCATTTTTATATGATATTTTTCTTTTTAGTACTGAATGTATGATAATAACAAATGATGCTACTGTAAAGGGTGGCAGTTATTATCCTATATCAGTTAAGAAACATTTACGTGCTCAAGAAATTGCGGAAGAAAATGAATTACCTTGTATATATTTAGTTGACAGTGGAGGTGCAAATTTGCCTAGACAAGCTGATGCATTTCCTGATAAAATGCATTTTGGCAGATCTTTTTATAATCAAGCAAACATGAGTGCTCAAGGAATAGCTCAAATTGCAGTGGTTATGGGAAGTTGCACAGCAGGTGTGTCATAAAAATTGATATATTTTTATATATTTTTCTTATATTTTATATACAAGTTTATCATATATAATCATATTATAGGTGGTGCATATGTTCCTGCTATGGCAGATGAAAGTATTATTGTCAATAATCAAGGCACAGTATTTTTAGCTGGTCCACCTTTGGTAAAAGCTGCAACTGGTGAAGAAATTTCAGCAGAGGATTTAGGAGGAGCTGCTCTTCATTGTCGGTAATTATTTTAGATATTATATTGATCTCTTACAATATAGATATTGATTTATAATTCTTAAACTCCAGTCAATCTGGTGTCATTGATCATTGCGCGATAGACGACACTCATGCTTTGCATCTGGCACGTCAAATTGTGAAAAATTTAAATCGGCAACGAGCTATGGATGTAAAAATAAATAAAAACATTGAGTTGCCTGTACATGCCATCGATGAAATCTATGGTATTGTTGGGACAAATATGAAACGCTTGTTTGATGTGAAAGAAGTTATTGCAAGAATTGTGGATGGATCAAAATTTGATGAATTTAAAGCACAATATGGTGAAACTTTAGTCACGGGATTTGCTAAAATTTATGGCTATCCTGTAGGCATTGTTGCGAATAATGGTGTGTTATTTTCCGAAAGTGCCCTGAAAGGCGCTCATTTTGTGCAACTTTGTGCTAAAAGAAAAATTCCTCTCATTTTTTTACAAAATATTACTGGTACAGTTAGAAAGTTATGCATTATTTATGCATTATTTTGTACTTTAATTTGTGTTATATACAATCATACAAATTTATCAATATAGGATTCATGGTGGGTAGAGATGCAGAGTTGGGAGGTATTGCCAAAAATGGTGCTAAACTGATAACAGCAGTATCTTGTGCACAAGTTCCGAAAATTACAGTAATAATCGGGAATTCTTATGGAGCTGGCAATTTTGGTATTTTTTGTTACTGTAACTATTTTAATTATTTTTGGAAAAAAGAAATGTAATATGAATTTATGATAGGAATGTGTGGCCGATCTTATTCTCCACGGTTCCTTTATTCTTGGCCAAATGCTAGAATCTCAGTAATGGGAGGAGAGCAAGCAGCTAACGTATTGGCTCAAGTTAAAAAAGACCAACGTGCAAAGGAAGGCAAACAGGTATGATTTAATTTTAATTTTTCTTTTTCTTTTTCATATATCCATATATATATATATATATATATATATATATGGATTTTATATATATATATATATATAAAATCCATATATATATATATATATATATATGGATATATGAAAAAGTTTAATTTAATATACAGGGTCTACCAAAAGTGTGGAAACCCCTAAATATCTCGGAAAATATACGTTTTACAGAAAAGTGTTTCCAACAAAAGTTGTAGGGTTTAAGAAGATCTATATACTGATTCTATCAGTTTGACCTTGGATGGCGTCGTCAAGGTCAGGTCAAGGTCACATTGACTTTTTTAAATGACACCCCCTACATTTGATTGCATATTCTTATAGCTTAATTCAAGAGCTTTCCAAAACACTATAATAATGTTTATTTTTATTAAGTACTTTGCGAGTTATGAGGGTTGAAATAATTTCTTAATTTTACATAAACCATAAAATATCTAGTAAACCATTCATTTTTCGATTATCTTACCTTCATACTTTTATGTACAAAATAATGAAAGGAATCAATTGGTGTAAAGAAAACATACAGTTGTTTTTAAGAAAAAATATGGAATTGTTAATTGCAAATTACATATTTTTTCTTAGAAACAACTATGTGTTTTCTTTACACCAATTGATTCCTCTCATTAATTTGTACATAAAAGTATGAAGGTAAGATAATCGAAAAATGAATGGTTTACTAGATATTTTATGGTTTATGTAAAATTAAGAAATTATTTCAACCCTCATAACTCGCAAAGTACTTAATAAAAATGAACATTATTATAGTGTTTTGGAAAGCTCTTGAATTAAGCTATAAGAATATGCAATCAAATGTAGGGGGTGTCATTTAAAAAAGTCAATGTGACCTTGACCTGACCTTGACGACGCCATCCAAGGTCAAACTGATAGAATCAGTATATAGATCTTCTTAAACCCTACAACTTTTGTTGGAAACACTTTTCTGTAAAACGTATATTTTCCGAGATATTTAGGGGTTTCCACACTTTTGGTAGACCCTGTATATATATATATATATATATATATATATATATATATATATATTAAAAAATTCATATTGTATCTTGATTGTATAGTGGACTCAAGAAGAAGAGGAGAATCTCAAGAATCCAATTATAAAACAATTTGAAGAGGAAAGCAGTCCATATTACTGTAGTGCTAGGTAAGAAATAATCGTCATTGTATTAAAAAAATTAATATTTTATCTTTATAAATATTATTCTGATATCTATTAGACTGTGGGATGATGGTGTGATCGATCCAGCCGACACGCGAGTTGTGCTCGGTTTGAGCTTATCTGCGAGTCTTAATGCACCTATACATGACACCAAGTTCGGAATTTTCCGAATGTAATGCATACAAAATCTTAATGAAAGTATACAAAAACACTATATTAATGTTAAATTTTATATGACTTTATATCTAATATCTTACCAAAGATTTTATATTTTATAAATATAATATTTTTTTATTGTTATACTATACATTCCAAATATATGTTTTTGTTATATTTTGCATAAATGATTTTTTATGAACTACAATAATGTTTCCCCTTGATGCATCTTACTATCTAAGAGATCTATTTAGAAATATTATTTATTTAGAAATTTACTATATTTTTCATCAATACATCAAAGCAGTATACATTTGAAATCGGTTTAAAAATCTTCCAATACAACTTAAATTTTTCATATATATCTCCATTATAATTAATATTTTAATTAATGAATATTAAGAGTGTTAATTATATGATCACGGTCAAAGAATAATCACATCGCATCTGTTATCTCGTTTTATTTAATTATTTTACATTTATTTATGTAATAATTAGACTGAGATTACGACATACGCAATTAATAATTACTTACTAAGTAATTAATTAAGTCGCATTACAATATTACACCTCGTCGCACGACTAGGTATTCCGCTTTCTCCGCTCGCAAAGGCCAATTTTCTTTTGGTTTCATCAAGAAATACGGCAGTCACTTGAGATACATAATAAAAAAATATAGTAAAACTGATGTCACACATGACTGAAAATTCGGCGGTCGCAAAGCGGAGAAATCATATGTTATTGCTTATTATATTACGCTAAGATAGTATATTAATTTTTTAAGCTTTTTTCGGATTTCAAATTTGACAATTTAATTTTGCCAAATTTCTCGTTTGATAACTGAATTTTTCTTAAATGTATTTTTATATCACAAAGTACTTTAATGCGGATAATTTATATTTATATTGAGATTTTATATTGTCTGGTATACATATAAATTTTTTTCTTGAAAATGGAAATTACATTACTTTAAAGTATTACAAAACAAATTTCTTTCAATGCTCTTCTATATAGGCACATTTTAACTGTATACAATCGATGTATGTGATCACCACTATGCATATATGTACGAATAATTGATGATCCATTGCCATCATGATCGATATTCCGATTATTAGTGAGCAAGTTAATTATCAAGTTCTCAGAAGCGATACCTTTCGCTTCCTTCACGCTTTTAATGTCAGACTGCGTCTTATTTACAATTAGTAATTACTTTTCAAGAAGCACGAATTTCAATTTCTCTACAGGAATTTGTAGAAGCACAAAAGAACCAAGAGAAGGCTCAAACTCAGCGTACTACACGAAGAACAATTGACGACCACCTCGGTGACCTTGTATTTGAACTGTTCTTTGATTTCTTCCGCAAGAAATGCTCTCTCGTGCGTCCTAATTGTCGTCGGGTCGGGCTGCTCTCTGATTTCTTCGGCAATTACTGCCCTTTCCTTTGTGTGCGTCCTGTTTTTGCCCTTCCTAATGAACTCCGAGAGTACTAATAACATAATTGCGGAACAAAAACCATAAACATGATGAATATGTAGTAATTATTCAAACGTTCATTCACTTTGCGGGATGATGAATCTTACCTTGATCGATCATGACGTCATCTGAGGAATCGACCCTGATGAATGTCGACATGGTTACCTCGAATAATTTGTTCTTATCGGTGCTTGACATCTCAATAGCTCGCCTTTTTCGGCCGAAACCGACTTGGCCGTTGCTACATTCAATCTAAAGTATAATTGATCCATTTAAATACACACATTTTAATAAACTTGTTGAAAAATATTAACGGAACGAAAAAGAACTATATTTATCATTGACTTAATAATTACGCGTTTTATGAAAAAATGAAGCCATACCCCTGGACATTTATCTAAGCAGACATTGACGGTCCCGCGAAACTGGACGTAAGTACTTTCCGGAAATTTGAAAGCTCGAAATTTCGCCGTCAGGAAATCGCCATCCACGGTATTAAAGTTTTCGAACAAGTAAGGATCGACGGAACACCTAAAAAAATTTCATATATCATCAACTCGTTATAAATTATTGTAACATTTTTTCAATAATTGAAAAAACGCTCTATTCTCGCTAGTCGAACAATCAAAGGATTATTAAAGAATTGTAGTCGACCAAACTAGCCAAGAAACCATTAATTTATTTAAAAATTACGACGTTTCGACCATATGGTTGTGGTCCTTATCAAGTACACGATGGAAAGATAAAAACAGGCATGGCACTTAAACCAGCACAAGTCACAAATTACAATTTTGAGAAATAGTTTTTTGACGAAGTCTCACACGGACACATCAGTTCTCTCAATTTCGAACTTTAATCAAATAACGTCTTTTGTCTAATTAATTTTGTAATTCTTAATTTCTCAAAATTGTAATTTGTGACTTGTGCTGGTTTAAGTGCCATGCCTGTTTTTATCTTTCCATCGTGTACTTGATAAGAACCACAACCATATGGTCGAAACGTCGTAATTTTTAAATAAATTAATGGTTTCTTGGCTAGTTTGGTCGACTACAATTCTTTAATAATTTTTTCAATAGTTTAGTTATATCTGCAACAACATTGTTGGTCAATTACCCGTTAATAATAATTGTTTCCTCCTGCGTCTTGGTATCGGTAACCAGCATGTAAGTCACAAGGAGACCGTATATTGGAGCTGAGTCATTGTCTAAAAATATTTCCATCTGCAACGGCGTGCCAGGACTAACGTTGAGTTCGCCAGTCACCAAGGCTCCACCCTGCCTTACTCCAACACCGAGGATCGGAACTGGCGCCGTTCCCGAAATTTCTTCGCGTATATCGATCGATCTAAAGTAAATAAAATAAATCTCTCTAGTCTGTCTCTAGAACCATTAGACATAAGAAAATTATAGGAGCTTGCTTGTCACGGATGTAATGTATGCCATATGTTTTGAATTGCGCGATCAACTCTTGTGAATCATTGGAATCTATCGGATTATCGCACGTCACGAATTCGCTACGGACTACGCGCTGATGGAATCATAAACCGTATAATTCGCAATCGCCTACTTTTCAAAATGAAGTCACCAGGATGAGCACCTGGCCGGTACGATGATGAATGTTGCGTGTCCAAATATGCAATTCTAATAGAGCGTCAGTTTATGCACGCCACACCAAAACGCAAGAACAACACGATGACCTGCGATTATCCGTTGCCGCAGTTATCTCCGTAGGAAGATTCGACCTACTTTACGGTCTTACAGAAATCACGGAAAATTATGCGTGCGGTCGCTTATCGCGATCTATTTTATTGAAAAAAAAAAAAAAGAAACATCTCCGTAATGCGTGTCGCGTTCATCGAACGCATAAATCAATTTCAAAGCCAGTGTGTATGCTCCAGTTTTCTGCAGACTCATCTTTCGCTTCCACGACATTACGGCCTTGGATCACGAAGACGGGCGACATAGATCGTCGTCCAGCGAAATCGCGTAACGACGACAGATGAAGTAATGAAGACGAATGTTTATCTTGGAATGGGTAGACCATGAAATTGCTAGCGGCAAAGAAGTCAAAGGTGGCGATGAAGCGCGATAGAAATGAGAGAGATAAGTTGTGTTTTAAAATAAAAAAAAAACATGCGTACACGTATATAAATTCACACACTCGCGAACGCAATTCGATAATAATGTATGAGGGTCCAACGCGAGAATTATTAGTTATTATCATGACTATGACTTGTATTATGCGATTCCATTCATCTAGCGATTTCTTTCATTTATTTCCTTTTTTTATTAACTCCAAAGCACAAAGAACACTTCATTAAATCTTTTCGACTTATATAACGACCTTTCATATACGCGCTTACAGTGATGTAAGAACTACTTCATTACACGACTTATTCTGTGAGGAGATACGCAATGTATCAGACATCCTCGGAGAAGAAAACTACCCGAGTGTTCGAGCCCGAAAAGTTCCTCATACTCGGGTACCTCCGCAGTTTCTCTTCGAAAGAACAACACTAATCGAATGATCGTCTTTCATAAATCAGTAACAGATTCATCTTAGAGCAGGTTGAACATGCGCAATAAGGAAATCGTGCAGTTTCATTGACAGGTAGAAACAGTTAGAACAGTTGGGGAGACTCTACGTCGCGTGACCAGGAACTCATGACAGCGCTCCACCACGTGCGATAATCCAACAATAAAGATTTCATTCTCGGTAAGCGAAATCCGCGGAATTCACGCAAAATCCAATGCCAAGATATACGTTCAATTAATGCCAATAAATTAGTGCCATGGCAGCTGGCACGACGCGCGATAAAAATTCCTGTCGTGCTTCCTCGAGAGCACGTTGTCCGCAAAGGGTACTTGAAGAATGTCCGACTCGCGGAGCGACTTTCGTCGGCGACAGAGGGGAAAGAACATGTGAGATCCACCGACAGATCTCTTCTTTCCGGCAACCTTTGTACAACGCGCTAAAATTGCGCGCGGGTTCCGTGACTTTTCCACCATCTGTGAAGGAACCGTTGCACAAAGGAATCAACTACTTTGTAGCGCTATAAAATCGAATCTCGTATTGTTATCGTGTATCTTAACTATCCGCAGAATGTTCCGCTATTAAATTTCTCGATAAACCTTATGTCGATCTCATCGAAAGAATTTCGATGGAAGGCTGTCATTTGTATTGTAGCTCTTAATATTCAAATTTCTTTTCCTAAAATTTGTTCAATATATGTCTATTCAAATTCTAGGAAAATAAAATTAATTCGAATTTAATATAAATAAACCAAAGTGTGTGTGATTTAATTATATTGCAGACATGCAGTTCTATAACATTTTCTAACAACGATTTGATTAAAATCTTCCTATGCCGTAAAGGAAGCGCGTAGATGATTAAATTTTCTTTTTTTTTTACATTGTCAGATACAATTTTCTTCGTATCTCAATTTCATTTCTTGCCGATTTTACATATTTGTTTTCTCGAGTAAACATAGACTAGCTGGAATAGATTCTCACGAGATGTGAGTGACTCGTCAAGTGATTTTCGACGTGAAGAAGGAAAAAGCAGGAATACTGATTATAGGTCTCACGGATTGAATTATATTACAGGTTTTCCAGCAGCTGCGCGCACATTCGACCGTTGTGCAAATAAATCAGACGGCGGCATCTTGACTTGTTTGCAAATTATAAACTTCTGGCGATAACTCCCGTAGTCGTCTAGCTGGCTTCTACGTGCGTATTCAGGTCAGGTTGAACGATTTATTTACTCGAATGTAGATCGGCCAGTCGGTTGTTCCGTAATCATCGAATTTTCCGCACAATTTTGCCGTCCTCGATAAACTGTCCTCGCATTTGTTTTTTCATCGTTATATATATTTGTATAGATCTGTTAACCAGTTTTACTTTTTCGTTAATAAATCCAAATCGTCGCTCAATTTTCGAAAGAAATGTCGATGCGTGTCACGTAAAAAATTACTCGATTGCGAATTTAATAAAAATAATATGTCTATCTAATTAATTTCTATTTTGTGAAATTAACGACGAGATCTATACATATACTTATGATGACACGATAACGTTAGTATGCTTCGATGCCGACTGAAAGGAATACTGTGTAATTACTGCGTTATACTCAGTGATCTCAAACTCATTTGTTACATGTCATCGTCAAGGTATGAAATGTTGAGATAAGAAACGTTGATATGAAATACTTTTCGACTTCTCTTCTTCGGGGATGAACGGAAGAAGTATATCACTTGGCAAATTATATTCCCACCTTACGTTTAGCAAACATAAGTAATTGCCAATAAATCGACTAACAGGAAGGCAAGTTAATGCGATAATAAATTTTCCTGATTGAAACTCTATTCGTAGAAAGTTCTTTTCTACATCTCAGCTCGATAAGAAACACCGCTCTTTGCGCAACGAATCGCGCTCGTTGATCTGGCAAGACCGATTGTTGTATTCACCAAAATGATGAAGCATCTGTGTAAAAAACGAAGAAAAGTTTTTCTCTCACACTCAAAGTCGTATAAGAGGCGCAACTTCCGGGTAATTAAAACTACTCGTTTGAATGCCGAGGGATCGTTTCGTAAAGAGGAAGTGTGAGAGGTTCTTGTCTATCGCATCGTACAACGACGCGATTAACGCTGTCGGATGACTAGCGAAATGAAAAGCCGCGGTCCAAGAATCTTGAGACTGCCAAGTGAAGCTCTTCTACTCTATCTAATAGATTTGATAAATATCACGCTCATTAGCACGATACCTTCTTACGCGATCTCTTCTATTTACGTTGCTTATAGAACTTACAATCTCCAACTTTATTGGACGTCATTACTTCTGCCACGATGAATTATAGATATTTATCGTAACAACAAAATGAATGAGATTGCATTCATGTCACGACGAATGCCGGATATTTTATGTATTGCAATATCAAATACTTAATATGCTAAATGATTGATGACTTACTCAGGTTCCTGAAAGCCCGCCGGAAGAACGCTCCGGCGTACCATCGTATGATTGGACGCGATGGCGATTTCTGGCTCCACGACAACTTCGGTGATTACACATTTCACGGTGAACGTGTGTTTGCTGGAATCTGCTGGCTCCTCCACTATTACACGATGATAGTACATCTTTTGACCCTACATCAACAGCCAAAACTTATAATTCTGATACAACAATTTAATGCCTCATTACGTTTAATGAAGAAATTTCAATTTATATAAACGCAATATTACGTTATGAAACGTTATAGAACGTAATAGCTCAGAATAGTTTGAAATTAAAACCAAGATTCTTTCGCAATGAAATTGAATAGATTACCGTGACTTTATTAAGAACTCTTGTAATACCGCATCGCAACATGTCCTGTTCCAGCAATGATAATTTGAACGTGGCAACGCCATCGTGAAATTGCGGTTTACAAGCCTCATCTGTAAAAGTAGAGGATTTCATTATGAGCTATATTTTTGATTTATGCGCGGCGCGTAAAGTATTTGAAGAGATATTTTACCCGGAAAATGTTTAAATTGTTGAAGATATATTTTTGCCTGCGGACTACTTCTCACTATATCCACTTCCATCATCTGCTTGGTACATCTCACTTTGCTTTGCACTGAAATGTAAGTATAAAATATTTTATAAGAAATTGAATCAAATGAATATGATTTAAAATATTGAGAGAAAAGAATAAGAAAATAATAAATAATCTTTACAAAAAACAAAGATTTTAATAAATTTTTTATTTAAGAAAATGTATAAAACGTTTCGATATATTATATTACTAAATAACACAAAATATACGATACACATTAATATAAATATTAATATAAATTAGCCTTTTTTCGCGATCGAAACTTTTCTTTCACTATTTCACAATTTTTGTATATTTTTATAATAGTATACTGTTCATTTATGCGATTAATTTTCGACTTGGGTGAAAAAATATATTTCGAGTATATCTCTCAAGACAATTTATGATTTCGTCTTATAGAAGAATGAATGGAAGTTAGCTTTATCCGTAAAGTAAGTTGCAGTATATCACGGTAATTGCCCCATAAAATCGTAAACGTCTCGACCTTGAAAAGCGAAGAATACAGCTCGGGAGATGCATTCGCGGTGATGTACATCCCACTGGGTTAGGCACTGTTTATTCGCGGAGCCTCATGATAGGTACTTTCACCGTTATTGGCTGACGTCAAGCGGTATATATCGAAAGGAACATATCTTTGATGTTGAAGAAGAGAGCTTGAGTGTTAAAAAATTTTACATAATTCACGAAATAATCCACGTCTCTATTGCGTTTTCTTTCACACGTACATATTCCTCTAATGATTTCGAAAGGATTTTTCCTGAAGAAAAATACATAAGACAAGACTTGTAATCAAGAGTTACGTCTTCGCAAACGTCAAAGTAGGAAGCGGCGCGAGAATGATTCCGAGAAGATATCGTCGCGGGTATAATTCAACATTAATCTCGAAAGATACGACGCGAGGTGGCAATATTTTCTTCGCACTTAATGTACGCACTTCTTGGCAAGCCTTGCGCGCATCGAGCAATAATTTACAGTGAAATATCATCGTCACGTGCGCAATGCGCAACTGTTGGAGAACGTGGCGAATGTTCCCTACGCGGATAAGGCAACCCAAGAGGTGAACCCATGCAGTTCACGCGATGCATCCGACTCGGCCGCGTCCGCGAATAAACAATCGGCCTCCGACAACCAAGCCTTCTGTCATGTCACGATTCTCGATAATGAATGACAAGGCAAACAATCGCAAGCTGTGACGTTTTAATAATGTTCTGCAAACGTTGCTGGCATCATTAATTTTGTAAAAAGAATCAATATTAAATTAAAAGTACATTATTAAAGTGCATTTTTACGTTTGATATATTTTATGTGAGCGATATTTTTTGTAGCTTCTGAACTTTTTCCCATGATTTTATGTAGTCGCGATGAAACAACACGGAGCCGTAATAAAGGAGGATAAATAACGCAACTAGTAGCTAAGATAATTCAATGAGAAATAACATCGAGTTGAAGTTTTTCAGCAGCTTATTTGATCGCTCGAGGCGATACCCCAGAAACCGGACAGGGAGAAGACAGCTTCAACATATGTTCCGCGCAGAAGCTCCGCAGCAGCCGTACCCGCTCGCGAGAGGCAAAGTTAAACAAGCGTCGACTGACGAGCGTTGAACGACTGGTAGAATGTTTAATATACATTGTAGGCCAGCGCGCCTGCATCAGGAAGTGCAGGCCGGGGAGAGACTAGCGCGTTTCCTTTTATTACCTCGGCAGACAAATTGATGTTCAGCGGCAGCCGGTCGGGAGTCCGCTGCGCTCACTGCGCTCGGCGATTGCAGCACTACGGAGGATTAGCAGGTACTGTCTGACAGGCGTTGATCAAGTCCTCGACGAGTCCGTGCTGCGTCGTTTCCGCCGAGACGACCGGACGGAACGAAATGACACCGAGTATGAGACCGCGCGGAAATCTTGGCGATGTTTTAACCGCGGCACCATCCGTCCCTCGTTATGTCAGAAAACATGGAGAAAAGAGATTATCTCGACTCGCAAGCGTCGATTTTCATCTCTATCCACGCGATATATTCACGTCACGTATGAAGTGACGGCTACCGGCGAGAGAGAGACAGTCGAGAGAGTTTCTTCTCTCCTCGTCTCGTTGAAATTGTTCTGTCTACTTAATATGCGACAACTCGTTTTCATCAGCATACTCGCCGGCTCGCCAATACTAGCGGTGCGACGCGACGATGTCGTCGCTCTTTTCTACGTTTCGCGAACCAGCGAAAAGAATCATTTTCTTACTTCTTTTCGCGAGGTAAGCGTCATCCTTGACATAAAACGTGCTACGAATTAATGACTTCCCTTCTGCCGGTCGTCACCCCCGAGCCTAGACCCTTATCTAGACGAGCTTTATGCAACGTCGGTCAGTCAAGTCGTATCCCGCGCGCGCAGTTAACGCGTAAATTACGTGACTGTGCAACGTGTCGCTTTTAAACATCGCTAAGAAGGCACAGCGGTCTTTTACATTAGCAAGTTTAAGCGAAGTCTCGCGAAGGTAGCAAAGGCGCGAGCCGCGGCCGATCTTCTGCCGATCTCGGAGAGAAGAAGGTCCGTGACCTTAGTTTCTCTCCCTCGGCCGTCGCTCCCCGCCGAGTTGGCTACCACTCTTCTACTTCTTCTTCTTCTTCTTCTTCTTCTTTATCTTCTTTCACCCACTGTTCTTCCCTTCTTCCTGTCATGGCGGCGCGGTTTTTTTCTCGGCTTGGTCACCGTCGTCAAAAGCAACAATCCAGTATTACACTTCCGCACTTGCATTGTTCTTCTACGAAGCTATAAATTGGCTGCTAGATTGACAATTATTGAGCGTGCAAAGAAAATTCTGCACTGAGCAAGCTCGAGCGGATTCTTTCTTTGGAGCTTCTTCTTATCTCGATATAAGAAATTTTCAAAAATTTCAGAAAGATATTTAGAAAATGTAATTTAATTTATGTTTTTTTTTCAATTCTAGTTCCAGACAAAAGAGACTTAATTAAACTGAGACTGAAATTAACCGACGTTGGCGAGATCACTTTCAAATCAATCAAAATGTGTCAAGGTAGAGCAGAAACTCTTCACGTATTATTATCTGCCGCCCTGTCTGTCCCGATCGCGCCGCATCTTCCTCGCACATTAACTCCGCCCGAGATTATTCGCGGCTATACTCACGTATTATCGGGCGTAATTATCAGCTTCAAATGTGGTGCACTTGCTAATCCCTCGATCTCGGCCGGAGGTCCGTGAACCTGGCCCTCTTCCTCCTTTTTTTCCACGTCTCTCCTCGCGCCGCCCTCTATCCCTCCTTATTATTCGATGTTTCTTATTTTTCCCTCCTTATTTCTTCCTGCACTTCTACCATTAAACTCAAAGAAGGTACCTACATACACCTCTGATCCTCCCGTCGATCCTGGGAGAGTTCCACTCCTTCCTCCTTCTTCCATTATTTCTTTCTCCTTCTCCTTTACAACATGCTTAGTATATTACCATGGCCACCCCCATTGCCATTCGCGCACTCTTCGATGCATCGTTTCCTTCAACTCTTGCAAGATTAAGATTTCCGCAAGATAACCGATAATGACCTACGCCGACTAATGAGGAAGATCCGCGACCTCCGACCTTCTCTTCTTCTTCTTCGTGTGTCTTCAATGCGCAGACTCTCGCTTTTACATACTTTTTGACTCGTAACTCGATTCGTTATTCACCTCGCCAAGTCGATTAATTTTCCACCGATTCCTCGTGACCTGGTTCACTCGACCCACTCTCTTATACTCGCTTCCATTATCTTCGACGCGGTTTTTGCTCGACAAGCTTACCTTACCACGTTGCCACTTTACTTTCATTTTTGTATTCCCGTTAACGCGCCTAAATCCTCTCAAGAGTAACGAGTCCATCGCGCCATAAAACATCGCTTTTTCAGATTCAAGCCTTCCTCAAGGTGGATAGAAATCAATGATGATCCTAGGAAAAATTCGTGCCCTTCCTTTTCCCTTTGCTTGCCTTGTTGAATGTCATTTTTCATTCTAGTGATAAAACCAGCAATCGACTACTCGATTCTCGGTTTCGCTGATAACAGTCGATTTCTGACGATATTTTCTTTCTCTTGAATGGGCGAGTGGCTACCTTGTTGCGCTACCAAGAAGAAGCGCGGGTAAATTGCGCCAATTTACGATCGAAATTATAATAATTTGTGGCTATTACTGCGATGTGTTAAGATGAGAACCGAGAATGCATAATTACATTCCTGCGCGGTTGCGTTCGAGCTCTCGCGAGGATCGAACGCGCAGGATCGACGGTCCGTACGTGCTAAGCGCAACTTTTCCGCTTGCCATGACGATGAAGCGAAAAATCAACACGTTGCCTGACTATTGCATTTGAATATTTTGTTGCTGTAGGAAGTGATTAAGTTTTAGATAATGTAGGCACTAACACTTAAATTGGTTGGTCCTTGGGGAACGTAAACATTCGCGTTTGCGAAGATGCGGCTTCTTCTTCTTCTTCTCAAAGTAATTATTTTTGTACTAGCGGCGTAATAATGGTCCGCGTAATTTTCTCTCTCTTCATACGTACGAAAACGAAGAAACCGGACAACGGTAATCACGACGGAAGGAGACGATTGTATATTACAGTAATCAATTAGTATTCACACGGGGAGTTATCGCGTACGCATGCTAGCGGTGCATAACAGTACCGAAAGATTGGAGAAAAAAGAATGGGCAGCGGGCAAGTTTTTTCTGTAAGTTTTTCGCGAGATCGACCCAAAGCGATAAAATAAACGGCGCAGGAAACTCTCATCTCGCGGATGATATGACTCGGCGCGTTATCGATTAATATTATTATAATGTTATCGATTAATGTTACTTATTGTACATATATTAAATGTTAATCACGTGAACCGGACCGCACTTTGAAAACCCATCATCTCACACAAATAGAAATATGACAGTAACTGTGGAAGATAATCTTCCATAGTTACTATTATATTTTTATTTATAAGTAATTTTCATAACGGAAGAAATATTTTGCTATACGTGTATATTCAAAAACTATGATTATGCAAA